ACCAACATTTCCTACACTTTTATAGTTAGCACATCTAGGACATTTAACAAAAATTACCTCGTCTCAAAAGTCCTATTCACAGTACTTTATATGGTTTCAAATGTCAGTTGAGGCTAAGTCGAATGATTAAGTGGGGTCTCTTGATATCTAATCAATATCAAGAACTTATTATGGTTGTATTATTGGATACCAAGTATTTATGCTAGTTTCATGCTCGATTCTAAAATCATTTCCACTTGGTAGTGAGTGATCCTTCTGTCTCTATAGTATCGCTAACCAAATAAGAAACAGCTTTTAATTGATGTCACTGATATTTAATTGTGAAGGTACAGTAACAAATAAAAAGGACATAATATAAGGTTCTATAGACAACAAAGCGCAATGCTTACCTCATCAATGTACCATTTGACAAAAACCGGGCGGTTCGCTGAGCCACAGGCCTGGTGAATGATACTCCCAAAGTGTACTGTCTTGTTTTGCGGACGAACGATGTATTCCGCATCTAAATTTGGAAAAGAAGAGAGAAAGGAAGCCCTAATGATATCTTTCATGATATTTCATATTGATATTCATTAAAAGTAGAATAACATTATATTTTGTCAAACCTTTCCCAAAATGAATTATCTTGCGTACTAGAGGATGCTTGACCCAGTCACAAATTTCGTCTCATCGACAAAGATCAGAATTACAGGCTACGATCATATACGGCCACTTCATATTCAAAACTTTTGCTGGCGTAAACTTTCTTGCATATGCTAAAGTTTATATTTTTTAGTTTCAATACTTTTCTATCCAGAGACATACTTACCTATGTAAGGATGAGATTTTGAGGCAGTAGAATCCAATCGGCAGCTCGTAATCTTTATTTCATTAAGCTTTACTGATTATCTCGACTGCATTATGACGAATATTTGGCTAATCCAATTGCAGAACCATAGCAATTTAAACGAATGTGGTACATTTCATAGCTGGAGTAGTGATCGGTAGAATTCTATGCCAGCAACGTTTGAAAATTTATTTTAATGAGCCACTAGTATAAAAAAAAGTGGAAGCTTCTAATCCATGCACTTCTTTCTCATATGATAGAGGAATACAAGAAAAATAATTTGTATATTGGTCTCGAATGAAAAATATGGTGTTTTTTAGTGTTAAACTTTGGGTATTTTTGAAGATTTTTTTGATTTTTTGTGTTTCTATTATTGTTGTTGCCTACGTTGAGTCTCCCATTTGGTGTTGTTTTGATGAAACCATGACCGGGTCGTGATATAAGACCTTTGTTTTGGGTGAGCTTTTGTTGTTTTTAAGATTAATGGTTCCCATAGTTTATATAAATGATGATTTGGGTGAGGATGCAATAACTGATCCATATGGTATACCACTGTTGGGGGTATTTATTTTGCTGTTGTCATCCTTTTGTGTTTCAAACTTTGAAACACATATAGAGGGCTTTGAAAAAAAAGTTTTTTAAAAGCTTGGTAGTAAACAAGGTTAATATTTTGGGTAAATCGTGGGTGTAGTTGGCCTTAACCATTTTCATTGGTTTGGGTTTTATTATTTTACAGGTTGTTGAGTATAATAAATGTCCGGCTTGTGTTGTGTATTCTTCGTGGTATGGTGCGTGCTTGATTTTGATAATTTTTCATGGCTTTCATGTTTTTGTGGGTTTGTTGTTTTTGTCTGCGGTTTTATTTCGTATTTATTTTTAAAACACACTATTACGACGAATATTTGGCTAACCCAATTGCAGAACCATAGCAATTTAAACGAATGTGGTACACTTCCATAGATGGAAAAGTGAGTTGTAGAATTCTATGGCAGCAACGTTTTAAAATTTATTTAATGAGCCACTGGTATAAAAAAAAGCGGAAGCTTCTACTCCATGCACTTCTTTCTCATATGATAGAGGAATACAAGAAAAATACTTTGTATATTGGTCTTGAAAGAAAAATATGTTCAAATCCATTAGTCATTTAGATAATAGTTATGGAGGCTAGCGGTTCTCGATACACCTTCTCTCGGAAAAAAATAGGTCCTCATTTTTCGTTTCATAAGTAGGCTTCTCGAGACTACTAGTGGTTCTGATATAAGAGATTTATTCATCCTAGTTCGTCTAAGGGGATGACGTACTGTTGGTTGAATTTACCTACAAGTAGATGAGTAAGTTTCCCATTGCCTTGCATCCCAAAGTGTATTCTTATTCAGAGAGGACTGGACTGTAGTTTCCATCTTGCATAGGTCTCCTCACCAGCAGACCCAA